CCCAATTCAAGGGCAAAACTTTTTTTTTTGTACCTTTATCTCATACATTATAGATTAAATTCATCATTCACAATTCACACACATAATAATTCAAATGATGCATCAAGATTCATCATGAAAATTAAGCTTACAATCCAAATAGAAGTTACGAACCACAACAAATAGAAGTTAACAATCAAAATAGAAATTAAAGTTTCAAACCAAATGAAAATTGGAAGTAAAATTCAAAAAGGAGAAATCATTAATCAGTTATTCAAGCTTGAGATGTCGAAGTTTTTGGAGGAGGCATTGAACTTGTAGAAGATTGAGTTTGTGTCAAGCCTACATTACAAACAAAGAAAACATATTAATTAGTAGCAAGAAGAATTAAAGTTGAAAACCATTTAATAACAAATTTACTGAAAAAATTAAAGCATATATTTCTTGTTTTCTCTTATTCCATTTCCTTGAAAAATTGAAGCATATCTTCCGTTGGTTCCTTGTAGAAGTTTACTTCATCTGCCCTAAGTCAACCACTAGTACGCACTAGTGCCTCCATTATTTTAGGAGTCAAGGATACCCTAAAAGGGTCCACAACCCTCCTCCCTAGGCTAAATGCATTTTCACTAGCAACAATAGAAGTGGTGGTTACAAAGATATTTTTGGCTATTTGTGAAAGAATTAGGAACTCTTTTGTGTTTGATTTCCACAATTTCAAGTGATAAAAGTCATCAATAACAATGCTAATATAAGTAGGGTTTTATTTTCAAATTATTGGAATATTATAAATATATGTTATATAATTATCTATTATATAATTTATAAATGATATATTATTTTGTATTTTCGGTATGGTACGGTAATACTGTGGTAATGGTATCCATTACCAATACCGTACCATGAAATTTCGGTACGGTACAATACTGTACCATTACCGATGGTACAAAAAATTTGGCACAAAATCGGTATGGCACGGTTGGCAATTCGGTTGGCACGGTAATTTGGCAAAAAAATCCACCCCTAGTCCTCCCTACTCTCGGAGACCACTTCGTACATGTGTACCAGCCAAACATGGAAGGAGGTTAGAGAATCCCGAGTGACACGATAACCCAAAGGGCCCCTAAACCAGACCCGTTCAACCCACGAACATAATAATAAGGCATGTTCAATCGATTCCTCATGGAGATTACAAAAAGGGCAAAGAGGAGATGCGCCACATCGCCTGCGAAAGACCTCAAGCTTTGTGGCAGTTGCCCTACTTAGTACTGCATTAATTGACACTAGCTGTTATTTATTTCAATTAATATTAAAGACAAAATCAAATCGTTGAACAAGATAACTCTGATTTTTCGAACGGATACAGTGGATATGTTTATGAATGCTTTAATATGTTTTAAGGCATGAACAAAATCTGTTGAGCAGTAACCGAAACACCAGCACGTCAGTTCTGAAATCCTGTACACCATCAAGAGTGCCATACATACTTCCAAACTTCAACAAAATTAGAAGAAACAGGTGAATGTATAACTCTTCATATGCTTTCACCAGACTCCCACCAATCCAGTAATTATGCCCTGGTAAGTTTCAGCAAGCATAAGCCACATATGCAGGTTATCATTTACCCTTCATCCGTTTTCAGAAACGCATACCCAAGAATTTCAAATTTGATTAGAACAGTAAAACCTCGGTTAAAGAAGATACAGCTTAAAGTTTGATAACCAAGTCAAACTGAGAAGTTTTCAGGATCACGACGATAAGCCATTTTAAACTGAACTACCATGAACTTGGAAGTGCAATTGGTTGTGTATAGTGGAGATGCACTCATGAACTAATAATCAACAAGATAAAGATAAACTTTTCACATCAAAAGAGAGAGGGAATAAACAGAAAAAGCATTACATTATATAGAAAATTATTGTATCACTTCGATATAAAAATAAACTGATTTAGCATCTACGCAGAACATGAACAATTAATACGTCCAGAAGTACCCACATTTACACTAATCCGATGCTAAAAACTTTTTGCTGTATCTAACTCGTATGTGCCTTCTTGTTTTGTAACGCTAAGAAAATCTCCACAAGTGAAAGAAACAGGAAGAAGTATGTTAGTATCAACTATCAACTTAAGAAAAATGAACAATGCAGAAAACCATAACAGAAAAGGCAATGAATAGCTTAATTCTTGGAATGAATTTCATTCTTCAAATCCTCCAACACTTGAGGACCACTAGGATGACGATTTACATAAGAAGTCATAAAACTTTTATCTGAGCAAGAAACAATAGTGCTCAAGCAAAGCCGAGGATCAACTGTTCCATGATCATTGAGCCAATTGTACATCAGTATTCTAAGCTGGACCCTTTCGATCTTATGGGAAAGATATCTTGGGAAGGTCACCAAAGTCGATATGGGGTAACCCAATTGATTTACAAGAAAATCAATCTTCTCTTCGATGATATCCTTTGTCTGGTTAAGAATTTGAGGGCTTATTTTAATCATTGTACAGACATCCTCTGGACTCAAACCAGCTTTAACAATACAATCAAATCTTTCCTGAAGCTCCACTCCTTTGCCTCGAAATGCTTTCAGTGCTTCTTTGATATTGTCTGAGTTGTCTACAAATCCTACATCAAACAAAAACTTAATCTTTTGTGTCTTTGATCTAAGGTCATCTCCCGAGTCCGGAAATGGCTGAACTCTTTTACCCAAAACCCAATTCTTCAGTTCTTGTGGGTTCTCCTGGATGTATATACACAATCTTTTCTTCCCGGTGTTCAAGTTAGTGAGTAAGCTGCTGGTTTTTTTCAAAGAACAAGAACCAAGAAGCAGGGTGTGGGTATGGACAAACTTCCCAATATCTGCAACCTTCATTTCAATTTCATTCAGGAACAAAATGCATTGTCTCAAATTTGAAACAAATTTCACAACTGGAATCTGTGGAAATTGCAGAAATATTGAGCATAGGTGGCTTTTTGTAGATCCAAATTTCAGAAAGAACCCAATTAATGAAAGCGTCCTTTCACCTGAACCGTCAAACAAAATATCTGGGTGCTGGCCAATCAATTGACCCAACTGTTCGCTGCTGCAACCCATCTCACTAAACAAACTTAGAACTTCAAGCATCCGGCGAAAATTATGAGAATCATCAATAGACAGATTCCCCTCAATCCAATTGGTTTCAAATCCAAAACTCTGTAATTTTTCCAATACCTTAACAAATTCAACATTTACATCCCCAATTAAAAGACAAGGAGTAGCAACTATAAACTTAACAAAACTAGATTGGCTAAGACCTAGTTCTTCATAAGCTTTGAGTTTCGATGTTAAAACCTCAAAATCATATCGAAAGACTTCTGTCGATTCTTTGTAAATCTTTCCTATCTTACTGCGCGCAATCCCATAATGACATAGTACAGTATAATTGTGCACCAATAACTTATCATCAGTCAAAAACGTCAAACTGCGTGGAAGAAGCGGAGAATACTCAGAAGGCTTCAAACCCAAGCTCTCAAAGAAAGGCTCAAATTCGTTAATAGGGTGGTAACGCAAGAACCGTGCAATTGCTCGCCCAATTTCTTTCTGATTATTCTTTGTGGCAGGAATTTCTCTTTCAATGTCAACTTGTTTCAGAAGCTTGTCCAGAAACAGAGGCGAGTTTTTACTCATATTCTCTGCATCCGTGAACTGCAACCCTCTAGTACCGTGCAAATAATCCAACAATGCATCTTCAGCTTCTTTTCGAATGGAACAAGAAATTCGACCAGCATTTTTTCCCTTACCACTCGAAGCTTTATACGAATTTTCAGAATCCTCAATTTCAGAAGCTCCATTGGTTCCGTACATTCTAAAGATTGGGGCACTGCAGACATACCCAATCGGATGAAATGGGATTGGTGATGATCTAACACGGTTTTTGAACAAATTCGAAGAAACCCAGCTGAGAAGAGATGCTAATCTGAGTTTCTGCAAATGGGTCATGACAAATTTGAAGAGATTCCAACCCTAGTGATTGCTAGAGAGCCTAAAACCCCCAGATTTCCAGGTAAACACAAATAAATATGGTGCCTTTTGATGAAGTATTACCTTTAGGATTTGACGAACAGTCAGTCATGGGCTCAATCCTCGGCAAGATTTTGCAGGAGCTTCGGTAGCGATGCCGATGAGCTGTTCTCTGACCCGAAGGGTTTTAGCACTTTTTTGTTGCAGGGTCAGGTCAGTAGGGTTTTAGGCCAAATCATAGGAAAGTTAAGGTCCAATAGTGGGGCCACTCTTGTCTTTGAAGCTAGGGGCTCAATTACTAATTAAGCGAATTCAAGTTAATTGTTATTGAGACTTTAAAGTTCTCATTTTACATTCTAAATTTTTTATATTTATAAAGAAAAATACACTTGTGAGGAATATAGAATAAAATTTTTGGAATGCCAACAACATTTCCCCCATTCAAAAGGCGGGTCAATTTGTTTTGAGTAGGGTCACTGTTTGAAGCCTAAACTAGGGAGGGGCAATGGGCATTGAGTGGGTTGATCGGGTTTGAGTTCAACAGCCAATGTAATAGGCTTGGGTTGATATTATTGAAACTCATTTTCGCGCAAGAAAATGGGCAAACTAACCCATCCAAACAAACCAACCCAATGAATTTCGGTTGGTTGATCGGACCGGTCAATAAACCCAATAAAGTGCTCACCCGTAGCCGAAGCTTTATATTTTTTCAGTTTGCTTTTACACTCTTATTTCTTTATAAAGTTGGTGTTAGCAAAACCACATTGTGTAGATCAATCGAAACCATCTCTTTAATAGAAATGGGGATCCCAATATAAAAATGTCCCGTTTTGATGTGGTATACAAAATGTGATATTCATAACATTTTATTACAATAAAAACCATAATATTATCATCATTCTAAGAGCGTGTCACCCATTAGTAACTTAATGATGATTGGAAAGGCTGAGATTACCGTAATTTGAAAAATCCTTCTGCAACCAGCCCTAATGGGCAGACTACTACTATTGATTCTGAGTGGTACAACAATTTTCATATTCCAGAACTACAAGTTTACAACCACCATCCTACGTATGATCCACATCTTCCAAACCAATGCACCAAGTTTAAAAACAAATTTTATGTTCAAACTTTTTTTCTCGAGTAAAAATCTCGAATGGTTTTATTCCTTCTAATTCCTGGAACGCTCCTGATGTGTATTTTCTGTCACAAAACAGAACCAGAGACGATGACAAGCAACAAACCAACAATTGATCTTCTTTTTTTTCTTTCTGTAGAGTTTGTTTTGTTACAAACTTACACGAATGTTGTCGCGTTGTACAAGGGCTTCGAGCTATGGCAGCAATAAAAACAACTCCATCAACTTCACACAGAACTACAAGGGTGTCAATCCATCATTTCAAACCATGAAAGACTGCACCTGTATTCATATTGAACTTCACTAGCATACGAAGCTAATATCCGTAAACTGTTAATAAACAATAATCAATCCCAAACACAACACTAGTGCATCGGTTTCTTGGTTTTATGCAGACACCATCACAAATCAAACCATTCTATCCTGGCAAGTTTATATCAAGCATGACACAAGCCGCTTGTGCAAGTTCTTGTCTCACCTTGTCATCAGTTTGATAAGGGCAGTTGAAGGCCACGAGTTTCGATAATAAAATAATAGCTGTATAGTATTCTGATAACGGCTGAAAGTCATTCGAACTTGGATGTTACTTCTAATGTTAACCTCATGCAGGAAAGCCTAACTAAAATGACTCTGGTAATATAACTGCAAAATGAGGAGATACGTTTTCAGGGTTATGAGGACAGTTTCTCCTTCCACAATGAATGTGAAAGTAAAAATTTACTATGCTGAAGTGGAGATGCAGTCATGCCTAACTAATTTCATAGTATCTATTCGTATTTGTCACCTCACCACAAACCGTAATCCTAATGAAAACCTCAGCATGTTAAAGAAAAACTAACATAGCATCAACATGGTGATAATCAACAGTGGAGAACCTTTTTTAAGAGAGCAGTGAAAATTTTATTGCTCCAAATGAATTTTATTCTTCAAATCCTCCCACACTTCAGGACCATTAGGATGGCAATTTACATACTTCCTTATAAAACATGCATCTGAACACGAAACAACAGTGCTCAAAGCATACCTAGGATCTGCCGTTCCTTGATCTTTGAGCCAATTGTACATAAACACCCTACGCTTGACCCTTTTAATTCCATATGTAAGAAATCTTGGGAAGGTCAGCACAGTTGATAACGGATAACGCAAATGATTTACAAGAAAATCAATCTTCATTTCAATAACAGCCTTTGACTGGCTAAGAATTAGAGGGTACGCTTTAATCATTTTGCAGACAGCCTCGCGATCCAAACCAGCTTCCACAATACAATCAAATCTTTCCTGAAACTCCCATGCATTGCCTTGAAATGCCTTTTGCGCTACTTTCATTTTGTTTGAGTTCTCTACAAATCCTATGTCTAACAACAGAACATAGTAGTCTTCTCTGTTATTGATCTACGGTTCTCTAATGGCCTAAGTCTTTTACCTAAAACCCAATTCTTCAATTCTTGAGGGTTCTCCTGTATGTATCTACACAGGCTCTTCTTTCCAACTTTCAAGTGAAGAAGTAAGGTGTTCGTTTTCTTCAAAGCACATGAACCCAGTAGCAAGGGGTGAAAACGAATCAACTTTCCAATCTCTGCAACCTTCATGTCAATCTCATTCAGGAACAAAATGCATTGTCTCAAATTTGAAACAAATTTCACAACTGGAATCTGTGGAAATTGCAGAAATATTGAGCATAGCTGGCTTTTTGTGGATCCAAATTTCAGTAAGAACCCAATAACTGAAAACATCTTTTCCCCTGAGCCCTCAAATAAAATATGTGGGTGTTGGCCAATTAATTCACCCAACTGTTTGTCGCTGCAAACCATCTTACTCAGAAAACTTAGAGCTTCAAGCAACCGGCTCCAATTATAAGAATTTTCTTCCGATAAGTTCCCTATAATCCAACTGGTTTCAAATCCAACAGACTTCAGTTTTTCCAACACCTTGAACAACATGGCATTGACGACCCCACTTAAAAGATTAGGACTAGCAACAACAAGCTTAATCAAATCAGACTGGCTGAGACCTAGTTCTTCATAAGCTTCAAGCTTTGATCGTAACACCCCAACACGGTATTGAAAGATTTCAGTAGCTTCCCTATAAATCTTTCCTATCTTATTACGAGCAACCCCATAATTACACAAAACAGCATAATTATGAAGCAACAAACCATCGTCGATCAAGAACATCAAATTGCGAGGAAGAAGAGGACTATACTCGGAAGGTTTCAACCCCAAGCTCTCAAGGAAAGGTTCGAATTCATTAATAGGGTGGTAACGCAAGAAACGAGCAATTGAACCCCCATATCCCTTTTCATTACCAGCACATTTTACAAGCTTCCTGAGAAAATGTGGGGAGTTTTTACTCATGTTCTCTGCATCTGCAAACTGTAAGTATCTAGTAAAATACAAATAATCGAACAATGCATTTTCCGCTTCTTTTCTAATAGCACGAGAAATTTGAGCATCACTTTTGCCATTAGCAATGGCAGTCGAAGTAGTATCCCCTTTTTCACAACTTTGAGTCACAGAATCCCTTTTAGTTGTGTAAAACCTAGGGTTTTGGACAATGGGGAAATACCCAATTGGGTGAATTGGGGTTCTTGTCGATCTAAAGTGGTTTTTATCAAAATTTGAAGAAACCCATTTGAGAATAGATGCTGTTCTGAGTTTGTGCAAATGGGTCATCATCAATTTGATGAGATTCCCAGCATAGTAATTTCTACGGAAGCTCAAATGCCAAGATTCTGCCGAATAAAATGGAAACATCAAGTCTTTCGGGACGAAAGGGTTACCTTGGAATTTTGATGAAAAATGTGGGGGGGATTTAAGCTCGCTAATCGGCGAGATTTAGCGCTCCGGCTGCAGAGTTTGTCCAACTGCTGCTGCTGATTGAGTGGCACATCGCCGCCAGAAATGGTCTTTTCAGTGCCATCCAAATGCAGAAACGGTACGACAAGGTGGTTGAGCTTGAGCAACTGTCCGAGTGAATATGTAACACTCGTCAAATTCATTAATAGAATCTAGTGTGAATCACCATTCAAGAATCATAGTATAGCGGCATTTATCTTTATTTTAAGAGAGGTTAGGTTTGATTCTTATAAAAAATATGAATTTAAATCACATTATTATGACAAACTCATTGTAAAGCTTAACTCACTCCCCTACCCCTTAATATAAATATTATCGTTTGTTCAAAAAACAAAAAACAAAACTTAGAGAGAACATTTACTCATTTTGTTTAAGAATCGTGGTTAGTAAATTTAACTTAGAAGGACAAAAATGTAACAAGAAAACTACTGTGATGAAAGTAGAAATCATGTTGAACTACCTGAACGGTAAGAGCATCTTCAATTGAGAGTGCATAAGATGAAAAAGTCATATTTACATCTCATTATACATTCTCCCAGAAAATGCAGACATAACTTTTAAAGATGTAAAAAAGATGTAAACTTACATTTTATCTACAGTTTCCGGCTTGATGACATCTTACATCTTGTACTCGGAGAACAAACAAATATAAACGCCAATGAAAGAAGCTTCAAGTACAATGTGCCCTAATTTATTTACCAAAATACATTTGTAACCTTAGAATTGCCAGTGATGAACAAGCGAAAATGAGTACTAGAGTGCTTAAGAATTCGCAGCTCACTAATTATTATTAATTACTCAATTTTACAAATTGTTGTATTTTTGTTTCTTTGTGTGTTATTTAGACCTTGTGCAACCTTTTTTTTCAAAAAAATAATCTAATTTGCGTGACAGGGAATTTGGTTGAAAAAAATTAAAAATGTGGCAACATATGTGCACAAGGCGACAAGTGTCAATCTTAAGAAAGTTGGTGAATCTACATATTGAAAGCTCGTTTAAAAGTCCTTTTAAAATGACTGAAATCACTAAGGGTGCGTTTGGTACGCAGACGGGACGGAACGGGACGGGACGGGACAGAACGAAGGTGTAATTTTTGAAAAATACATGGGGTATATTTGTCTTAAAATGGTAAAACAGTGTGTTCCACAGACGTGGAACAAACCCGTTCCAGGGGGGAGTGGGAACGCAAAACATCCAAAATCTGTCCCGTGGAACAGCCCGTTCCACCCATTTTTGGGGTACCAAACGCGGGACAGAACGCCTCGTCCCGTTCCGTCCCCTCCCGTCCCACGTACCAAACGCACCCTAAATGAAACTACAAGGATGAAAAATGAATCAACTTGGTCGACTAATTAGACTAAAGTGAAAGAAAAATGAAACTACAAGGACGAAAATATAATAAGAAAATGACTAGGACGAAATGAAAATTGCAGTAAACTACAAGGACGTTGTAAGTGTAATATGGCATAGTCTATTTCCAAAGTGCACATGTAACCTTGGAATTGCCAGTTATGACGATGGAAAAGAGAGAACTACACTACTAAACATTACAAATTGTTGTATTTTTGTTTCTTGGAATTGCTATGCGAAAGGGAAGAAATATAGATTGCAAATTTCTTGAAAGTAATGGAAGCAAGATTAATAAAATAGCGTGCAAGATTTATTTATTTATTTTTAGTTTGTTATTATTAAGAGGAGGGGTAGAATAACAAAACTTCTAAAAAAATTATCTTATTGTATCTTCTAGGGCTGGGCAAACGGGTCCTGGACCCGCGGGTAGGGGCGGGTAATGCGGGTACGGGGCGGGTACAGATATTGTAAATTCAAAAGGGGGCGGGGCGGGGCGGGTACAGAAATAAGTACAGAAAAAAATACGGGCCCCCGGCCCGGACCGTTGATTCCTACCTTGATTTCCTACGTTGATTTCCTACCGTTGATTTCACCTCTCTCTCTCTCTTATTCTGTCCGAGAACTCAAACTCTCATTCTCATACTCACTTCCTCCATTCTCTCGATCTCTCTCCCTCGATCCTCCTTGAATCTCCTTCAACCTTCCACATGCAAAATCTCCTCTCCTTTATTGCCGCACCATCATCATCATTATCGCCGCGTCGATGACTAGGTACCGCGAGGTGGGCCTGAGAACTAGGGTTTACACTGAGGTGGTTGGCGGATGCTGAATCGACGCAATTGATCCATTTCTCCTCAATTTGTCTGATTCGTTCTGTCAGAGTCCTCTCGAGTTCTAGGTTTACACGAAGATGGCGTCGACGATGACATGAGGCTCCAGAATCCAGATCGGAGATGCTCCGAGGACCTGAGGGATAGTAGAGATAGAAGATAGATGATGGCGCGACGACGATAGCGAGCTCGTCGATGATGGTGGGCTCCAGATCGACGAAGATGACGCGACAACCACCACCCACCACCACTATCCCGCGCGACACCACCACCCAACCACTCGAGGACGTATCATCCTTGCGATTGGTTCTTATGTTTTTTTTCCTTTTATATGTTGATGTTGTTCTTTCATTTGATGTTTGATCATTGTTTGTGTTGGTTTGTTGTTGCATGATTAAAGGGGTTGTTGTTTTTTGCATCTGGGCTTTCATTATTGCTTGCTGTGCCTGTTCTCGTAGGTGGGGAAAAGACTCAACGAGGTCGTCCCTTCTCTTCTATGGCTAAAAAACAACTGGGACCGTGACCCGCCCGAACCGGCCCTTAACCGGGCCGGGTATGTCGTTCTATACAAAAATCCAATCCCCGCCCGTCCCGGCCGTTTCTAACCTCCGGTTCCTACAAACTTAGGTTCGGCCCGGCTCGCCCCCGTGCCAGCCCTAGTATTTCTATCCAACTAAAAAGTTTAACATTGTGTTTCAAATATAACTAATTTATTCCGCCGAAAAAAGAATATTCACAGTACAAAATTCAAGTGTGATTAATGAAGCATGAGAATTGATGGTAACCATATGCACGTTATAGACGTTTCTTACCAAGATTCAACGATCTAAGTTAGAATTTCAGCACCGGAAATTGACTTTGAATTTCTTGTGTTCTCTCAGTAAGAGGTTAGGATTGTAGAAGAAGAATTTTATATTTTTTGTGTTCAAAATGCCATGCAAATTGATGTGTATATAGTAGGATTATGCATGTTCGCAACAGGTATGAGAATGATGTGATTGTTGGAAGACATCTTCTCAGAGAGGTGCTTTGCTCTCTGTGTTCTTCATCACTGTAGACTTCATCTGAAAATGATTCTGTAATAAAAAATAATTTAATTAAATTCGAAATTAAAAAATTTTAATCATAGAACCCAAGGCCCATCTTATTAATTATCAATTAATTAGTGCATCTCAAAGCCCAACCCAAGGTTGAGTTCAATTTCATTTTTCATGTCTATCACTCAAATCACTATTTAAAGGGACAAAGTCTTATAAAATGAGCGAACCTTTGGTAGTGAACATGTGGGACAATGAAATTTCTACTCAAAATTTCCAACATTCATATCCTTTAAATGGAATATGATCAAGGGTAAATTACACTTTCATACCTCAGGTTTGGGGTCTATTTCATATATGAACTGCATATCTCCTGAACACACACCTAACACATTAGTTGCGACTCGACCCTTTCTTGTTCGGTATCTTGGTTTGTCATTTCAGGTACATGCACATCAATGTGTGTTCCATCCAATGCTCCAACAATTCTTAAAAATAAAAATAAAAAAGTTTTTGTTAATTTATACAAAAGGAATGAAGAGTTAAAGCTTAGGGAAAATGAAAAAAAATTCTCATCATACCTTAAAACATCGCCACCTAGGATCTGTAGAATCAATAGGCACAGGCTGGGGGACTTTTAGTAGGATACCTTGTAATCGCAAAATTCCTTGCAATACGCTATTGAAATACCTACTTATAGTCTCTCCCGACCTATAAAATCTACCGCCAACACTACGATCTTAGTATGATGTGCTAATATTTGTAAAGGTCATACACACCTGTTCCTCTACAGACACCAAACCATCAGTTTTTTACCCTCCCATCTTGACGAAGTAAGTCATAATATGCCAAAATCCTTCTATCCATTCTCAATTCGGACACATTCAGTATCAGTATTCCCTATTATACCATTCAGATAACAAACTAATCTCTCGTCTAATAAGTGAACGGTTAGTCAATGTGGTCGTTCAACATGTCTCTGTTTGCCACGTAGCATCATCACCACAAGAATCGTACAAATACAAATTGTCTCCAAATAACAACAATAAGATCAATAAAAGCTTCATTCGATCCATATCTATCCAAACAAAACAAAAAACAAAAAACAAATTAACTAGATCATTAACCCGAGGCAACAAATATACAGGTGGCGTTGAAAAAAAAAAAGTTTTCATTAACCCAGGCAACAAATATACAGGTGGCGTTGAAAAAAAAAAGTTTTTCATTAACCCGAGGCATCATATTCAAAATCTATTACATCTATAAACATGTGTCAAGAACACTAGTATGAGGATTGCTATCATTGCTAGGCATTGCATGTGAAAAGGGAAATTAAAGGACACCTGTAATGCAGTAGCCTTAGCCTTAGCCTTCCGTTATGCTCCTCTTCTCTGCAACACAACAACCAACAAAAAAAAATTCAATTCAGCATAACACAATACACATTCACTGCATACATGGTTATACAACCAAGTACACACACACACTGCATACATACATACACACACTGCACACACCACTACATTACACACCACTGCACACTACACACTATACACACACACGCATACACTACACACATACACTGCATACATCACACATA